TTTGAGGAGAAACCTTCCCAACGACCTCAAGTTTAAAGAGAAACCTTCCCAATGGCCTCAAGTTTAAGAAGAAACCTTCCCAACGACCTCAAATTTAAAGAGAAACCTTCCCAATGGCCTCAAGTTTGAGGAGAAACCTTCCCAACGACCTCAAGTTTAAAGAGAAACCTTCCCAATGGCCTCAAGTTTAAAGAGAAACCTTCCCCATGGCCTCAAGTTTGAGGAGAAACCTTCCCAACGACCTCAAGTTTAAAGAGAAACCTTCCCAATGGCCTCAAGTTTAAGAAGAAACCTTCCCAACGACCTCAAATTTAAAGAGAAACCTTCCCAATGGCCTCAAGTTTGAGGAGAAACCTTCCCAACGACCTCAAGTTTAAGGAGAAACCTTGCCAACGACCTCAAGTTTAAGGAGAAACTTTCCCAAAGACCTCAAGTTTGAGGAGAAACCTTTCCAAAGACCTCAAGTTTAAGGAGAACCCTTCCCAACAACCTCAAATTTAAGAAGAAACCTTCCCAACGACCTCAAGTTTAAGGTGAAACCTTCCCAAAGACCTCAAGATTGAGGAGAAACCTTCCCAACGACTACAAGTATAAGGAGAAACCTTCCCAACGACCTCAAGTATAATGAGAAATCTTCCCAACAACCTCAGGTATAAGAGAGAAACCTTCCCAACAACCTCAAGTTTAAGAAGAAACCTTCCCAACGACCTCAAGTTTAAAAAGAAGCCTTCCTAATGGCCTCAAGTATAAGGAGAAACCTTCCTAACGACCTCAAGTTTAAGGAGAAACCTTTCCAACGGCCTCAAGTTTGAGGAGAAACCTTCCCAACAACCTCACGTTTAAGGAGAAACCTTCCCAATGACCTCAAGTAAAGCCGAAACCTTCCCAACGATCTCAGGTTTAAGGAGAAACCTGCCCAACAACCTCAGGTTTAAGGAGAAACTTTCCCAATGACTTCAAGTTTAAGAAGAAACCTTCCCAACAACTTCAAGTTTAAGGAGAAACCTTGCCAATGACCTCAAGTTTAAGGAGAAACCTTCCCAACGACTTCAAGTTTACGGAGAAACCTTCCCAACAACCTCAAGTTTAAGGAGAAACCTTCCCAAAGACCTCAAGTTTAAGGAGAACCCTTCCCAACAACCTCAAATTTAAGAAGAAACCTTCCCAACGACCTCAAGTTTAGGGTGAAACCTTCCCCAAAGACCTCAAGATTGAGGAGAAACCTTCCCAACGACTACAAGTATAAGGAGAAACCTTCCCAACGACCTCAAATATAATGAGAAATCTTCCCAACAACCTCAGGTATAAGGAGAAAAACCTTCCCAACAACCTCAAGTTTAAGAAGAAACCTTCCCAGCGACCTCAAGTTTAAAAAGAAGCCTTCCTAATGGCCTCAAGTATAAGGAGAAACCTTCCTAACGACCTCAAGTTTAAGGAGAAACCTTTCCAACGGCCTCAAGTTTGAGGAGAAACCTTCCCAACAACCTCACATTTAAGGAGAAACCTTCCCAATGACCTCAAGTAAAGCCGAAACCTTCCCAACGATCTCAGGTTTAAGGAGAAACCTGCCCAACGACCTCAGGTTTAAGGAGAAACTTTCCCAATGACTTCAAGTTTAAGAAGAAACCTTCCCAACAACTTCAAGTTTAAGGAGAAACCTTGCCAATGACCTCAAGTTTAAGGAGAAACCTTCCCAAACGACCTCAAGTTTAAGAGAAACCTTCCCAACGACCTCAAGTTTAAGAAGAAACCTTCCCAACGACCTCAAGTTTAAGGAGAAACCTGCCCAACGACCTCAAGTTTAAGAAGAAACCTTCCCAACGACCTCAAGTTTAAGAGAAACCTTCCCAACAACCTCAAGTTTAAGAAGAAACCTTCCCAACAACCTCAAGTTTAAAAAGAAACCTTCCCAATGGCCTCCAGTTTGAGAAGAAACCTTCCCAAAGACCTCAAGTTTAAGGAGAAACCTTCCCAACGACCTCAAGTATAAGGAGAAACCTTCCCAACAACCTCAAGTTTAAGAAGAAACCTTCCCAACGACCTCAAGTTTAAGGAGAAACCTTCCCAACGACCTCAAGTTTAAGAAGAAACCTTCCCAACGACCTCAAGTTTAAAAAGAAGCCTTCCTAATGGCCTCAAGTTAAGGAGAAACCTTCCCAACGACCACAAGGTAAAAGAACATTCTTCCTAATAGCCACAAGTTTAGAGGCGTTCCCAGTGACCATCGCACTAATGCAGAACGTGAACCGTAGACTGAAGTAATTATAATTATTAGCCTGGATTTCATGAGAACGGAAAATTATTTCAAGGGCTTACTCAATGTTAAAAAAAGGCTGAGGTTGAGAAAGGCCATATATATACTATCTATCTATCTATCTATCTATCTATCTATCTATTATCTATCTATCTATTATCTATCTATCTATTATCTATCTATCTATCTATCTATCTATCTATCTATCTATCTATTATCTATTATCTATCTATTAATCTATCTATCTATCTATCTATCTATCTATTATCTATCTATCTATCTATCTATCTATCTATCTATCTATCTATTATCTATCTATCTACCTATTATCTATCTATTATCTATCTATCTATCTATCTATCTATCTATCTATCTATCTATTATCTATCTATCTATCTATCTATCTATCTATCTATCTATCTATCTATTATTATCTATCTATCTATCTATCTATCAAATCTATCTATCTATCTATTATCTATCTATTATCTATCTATCTATCATCTATCTATCTATCTATCTATCTATCTATCTATCTATCTATTATCTATCTATTATCTATCTATCTATCTATCTATCTATCTATCTATTATCTATCTATCTATAATCTATCTATCTATCTATCTATCTATCTATCTATCTATCTATCTATTATCTATCTATTATCTATCTATCTATTATCTATCTATCTATCTATCTATTATCTATCTATTATCTATCTATCTATCTATCTATCTATCTATCTATCTATCTATCTATTATCTATCTATCTATCTATCTATCTATCTATCTATCTATCTATCTATCTATCTACTATCTATCTATTATTATCTATCTATCTATCTATCTATCTATCTATCTATCTATCTATCTATCTATCTATCTATCTATCTATCTATCTATCTATCTATCTATCTATTATCTATCTATCTACCTATTATCTATCTATTATCTATCTATCTATCTATCTATCTATCTATCTATCTATCTATTATCTATCTATCTATCTATCTATCTATCTATCTATCTATCTATTATCTATCTATCTATCTATCTATCTATCTATCTATCTATCTATCTATCTATCTATTATCTATCTATCTATCATCTATCTATCTATCTATCTATCTATCTATCTATCTATCTATCTATCTATCTATCTATCTATTATCTATCTATCTATCTATCTATCTATCTATCTATCTAATCTATCTCTATCTATCTATCTATCTATCTATCTATCTATCTATCTATCTATCTATCTATCTATCTATCTATCTATCTATCTATATTATCTATCTATCTATTATCTATCTATCTATCTATCTATCTATTATCTATCTATTATCTATCTATCTATCTATCTATCTATCTATCTATCTATCTATCTATCTATCTTCATCTATTATCTATCTATCTATCATCTATCTATCTATTATCTATCTATTATCTATCTATCTATCTATCTATCTATTATCTATCTATTATCTATCTATCTATCTATCTATCTATCTATCTATCTATCTATCTATCTATCTATCTATTATCTATCTATCTATCATCTATCTATTATCTATCTATCTATCTATCTATCTATCTATCTATCTATCTATCTATCTATCTATCTATCTATCTATCTATCTATCTATCTATCTATCTACCTAATAAACAAGTGACAAGGCTAAAAAGCAGTCATTTTTGCTCTCTTTGCTCCTGTAACTCCATTTACAAGAAGTCACAATTGTATCCATTCATCGAGAAGATGTGGATAATCTGGTTACTGTTACCAGCTTCAGGAATTTCATTTACGAGCACTTACACGGATATAACCAATGCCATCACTGTGTGCGCGCAGTCACAGGCAACTTTGTTACAATTTGACCTTGCAGATATATTTATTTCCTTTATTGATGCAATGCTGACATATCTGGCAGCAATTTACAGAGTATATTGAGCCAATCACATTAGTCTCTCTGACGGCCGTAAAGCTTGCGGTCCTCGGTAATCATGAAGGCACATCGAGGCTAGTTTGGTTAGGGGCCACTTAACCTACGGTACAGGGTGTACGTGGGAAAATGAACTCTGTGTAGGTAATGTCCTGCTGGGAAATGATCCCAGAAACCAAGATCTGCAAGGTATTAGTGCTAACCCCTGAACCCCTGGGCATCCCCAAGATCTTCTATAAACAATAGTGGATTCTCAGGTCACAGTTGGCACTGGCTTCTTTGCAAGGCTTCAAAGTTGGGAGAACAGCGCTTACCTGCATCATTATTCTACATACTACTTTTATCCAGAGGCATAACTAGAACTTTCAGGGTCCTGGTGCAAGAAACCATGAAGACCCCCCCTGACCCCATCCCAGGGCTCTTTCCATCAGTCCCAGGGCCCTTCCCACTGGTCCCAGGTCCCTTCCCACTTGTCCTGGGGCCCTTTCCATTGATTCTGGAGTCCTGTCCTCTGGTACCCTGGCACTTTCCTTTCAAGCCCAGAGCCCTTTCACTCTGGGCCTGGGGTCTTTTCCACTGTTCTCAGGCCCTTTATACCCATTATTACGGTCCCAAGCATGACCCTTTCACATGTTTTTGTAGCAGGCCCCCTTCCTGCTATCTTGCAGTCACCCTGTGCTGGCAAAATGCCAGGGCAAGGTCACAAGTGTGACCTTTGCAACCGCAGTAGTTTCTCCAATGCTTTAAAGTTGTTTTAAAGACCCTGCATTACTATATCTGCTCTCCTCAGACTGCCACAATGCATTCACTATATCCGCTCTCCACAGACCCTGCATTCACTATATCGGACCCTGCATTCACTATACTCCACAGATATTCACTATATCCGCTCTCCACAGACCCTGCATTCACTATAAGTCTGGTCTCTCCCCGGGCACTATATCTGCGGACCCTGCATTCACTATATCCGCTCTCCACAGACCCTGCATTCACTATATCTGGTCTCCCCGGACCCCGCATTCACTATATCCACTCTCCCCGGACCCTGCATTCACTATATCTGCTCTCCCCACCCTGCATTCACTATATCCGCTCTCCCCGGACCTGCATTCACTATATCCACTCTTCCCGGACCCTGCATTCACTATATCTGGTGTCCCCGGACCCTGCATTCACTATATCTGCTCTCCCAGACCCTGCATTCACTATATCTGGTCTCCCCGGATCCTGCATTCACTATATCCACTCTCCCCTGCACCCCTACACTAAAGCTGGCCATACACTAGTAGAATTTCATTCCAATTTGTTCATTTTCTGATAGTTCATTCTATTTTCTAATTGTTAGTGATGTCAAATCTGGGTACGCTCTTGTTCTCATTGGCAAGAAAACTTGTCACTGCGGAGCAGGGTGGAAATTTTATCCCCGAACAAAGAATTTCTAACAGTGAATGTGGTTTCCATTCAGGAAAGTCTGTTCATTCCAAAATCGAATGTCAAGTGCTCGTGAAATTTTGACGTATTTTTGTCAAGTCATCGAGTGTACTGAAAATTTCTGTACGAACGTACATTCAGAATTCTACTAGGGTATGGCCAGGTCAACCCTATCACTGCCACCGCCATGTTGGTGGTGGTGGTGCTGGGAATGGGAGTGGTGGTGGGGATTACACACAGCCACAGCTGCTTGGAGTGTATGCAAATCTGACAAGCGACTGTTGGCTATCAGATGAAAGTGCTTCGGCTCCTCAGCCATCCCACAACCCCGTAAGTATCCTTCTTCCACCCCCCGTTAATTGGCTGGGTCGTCTGGAAAGGACGGCCAAGGACCGGCATGGCGGGTGTTGCTGGGTAGAGGGAAGGGAGATCAGCGAATGTGTAAAACGCCACTTCTGGGTCCTGGTATCCCTTTAACTTGTGGAACGTGATCTCTGCCCCATCAGCTTCATTGGAGGACAGTTGAGACATCAGGGGTCTTTTAGACCCCTAATGTCTTAATTACGAGAGCCCGTCACCAAAAAAAGCATCAGATATTGGACTTTTTATCCCTATGCGATGAAAAAAAAAAGTTTTTAAAATAAATTAAAAAAAGTGTAAAAAGTTAAAGTTACACCCAAGCACTTACAATCCCCCCCAAAATAATTTCTGAGCCCCAACTCTCCCACATAATGCAGGTTAATGAACCTGGTGGCGGTGCCCATGCAATAAAACATTGATTGAGCTACACATGTTACATATTGCTGCACACGCCAGAGTGAGAGCAATCATTCTCGGTCCATTATTCACAGGGAAAGTGGTTGTAAAAGCTCAAGGTTTTTTACCTTCTGTACGCAGCCCTCCATTCCATACCTGAGCCCCCCCATTGGCTCCTGCTGCTGTCAATCACAGCCAGTAAGCCAATGAGAGAGAGAGTCCAGGGAGAGGGCAGAGCTGCAGCTCTATGTGTTTTATGGACGCATAGAGCAGAGGCTCAGGAATGAGCATGTAGCGGTGCCCCCCGGGCAAGCAGCTTTCTCTGGGGGCACCGCTTGAGGGGGAGGAGCCAAAGTGATGGCGGGGGACCCCAAAAAAAGAGCATTGGAGAAGCTGTGTGTAAAACTACTGCAAAAAGCAGATAAGCAAGATGTGTTTGTTGTTTTATTTTTTAAAAATTAAGCTTTAGTATCGCAAACCCACATGAAAGAAAAATAGATTTGAAATATATTTGAAAAATATTCTTCCCAAATATATTGACGTAGATTTGAAATACTACAATTTTGGCCCTCTTCTATATATATATATATATATATATATATATATATATATATATATATGTATTGCGTGTTGAAAAATATATTCTTCAGATTTTATTTTTAACATATAAAAAAGTCATTTTAACATATATTTTTACATATATTTGTAAATGCATTCCAAAAATGTAGATTAAGTGAGTTTTTAAAGACATACAGTATATTTGAGTATGAAAAATATTTTTAAAAAATAAATTTTCAAATATACTATATGTAATAAAAATGCATTTCAACATACAGTATATATATATATATATATTGAAATATGTTTTGAAAAATATTGAATACAGCCAAAATATGGCCAAAATTGGAGCATTTTAAATATATGTCAATATATTTAGGAAGAATATTTCTAAAATATATTTAAAATATATTTTTTTTCAATGTGTGAAGGGCCAGTGTAGCTTCCTTTCGGCTTTAGGGGGGCCGACCTGGAGCCATTGAGAGTGAAAACTGTCCCGGAATCAGTGCCCCATCATGGGTTTTAAGGGGAGGAATAGTTCCCCATTGTTGATATCAATGAGAAGAATAGTGCCCCATTGATGGTGTCAATAAGAATAGTGCCCCATTGATGGTGTAAATAAGAATAGTGCCCCATTGATGGTGTCAATAAGAATAATGGTGTCAATAAGAATAGTGCCCCATTGATGGTGTCAATAAGAATAGTGCCCCATTGATGGTGTCAATAAGAATAGTGCCCCATTGATGGTGTCAATAAGAATAGTGCCCCATTGATGGTGTCAATAAGAATAGTGCCCCATTGATGGTGTCAATAAGAATAGTGCCCCATTGATGGTGTCAATAAGAATAGTGCCCCATTGATGGTGCCAGTAGGAGAAATGGTGGTCCATCAGTGGGGTCATTTGGTGGAATAGTGCACCATGGGCCATATAAAGGCAAGACAAGGGCTACAACTGGCCCCCGGGCCACAGTTTAGAGACCACTGCTCTAAACTGAGGGGCTTTTAAAATTTTGCCTATCAAAAATTTAGGGTGCCCAAGTTTGTCGCCATTTCATGGGCGCATGCAATTTTAAGGTTTGAGATGTTGGGTATCTATTTGCTCGGTGCAACCTCAGCTTTGCATGATCATGCAATTGCCAGTAAAGGTAACGCAATGCCGTATCGCAAAAAAATGGCCTGGTCAGGAGAGGGGGGGAATCCACTGGAGGGCAAGGAGTAAATCATTACTATGAACCACCAATCATCAGCAGCCAATGTACATAAGGCGCAAATGTGATCTCTCATCCACAGCTACTCTAGTTCATTTTAAGAATTTTTTATTTTTTTTTTAATTTCCACCTCTAATTATTTAGGAAGATTTAAAAAATAAAAAACTGATTTGGACCTTGTCACCGTTGGAAATGCTTTTATCCTCCTTCCAGTATGAGAGTATTGGCTGAAATGGATAACATCAAATATCCTAGGATCCCTTAACCGCCTTCCGATCGCTTCCATTTCTCCTTTTCTTTTTCCGTAAGCTACAGAATTCTCTTTTCTTAATTTCCTCTCCTTTTTTTTTTTTTTCCACTTTAATTAAAAACCTCATCCTTAATTGAACATTAATTATCAATATTAAAATTCAAATGAGCTCTTCCCTTAGTGCTTTCGAGGGAGGTTACCTGCAAATGGCAACGTGTTGTCTACAATAAACACTTTACAGATCGGCAATAATAGAGACGCTCGAGACCCGGCCGCCAGAACCCGACGCACGCAAACACCGCTCTCCGGCGAACCCTGAAACGCCGTCGTTGGTAAATGTGCATTTTTTTGGACATCCGTCCTTTTTTTTTTTTTGTTTGAGGGGGGGGGGGGGGTAGGGTTTAATACATACACAGGAGCCGCCTTATATTCTTTGGAATTAGCAAGACGAAATGCAATTTGCGAGTCTCGCTCTAAATCATGATATGTTTCTGTTTCAAAACACGGTGCTGTCATTTTTCCTACTGTGCCAGCTGTTCCTCTTCTTGCCACCATGGCAACCACCGCAAGTCGGTTGGGTCTTGTGCCAGGAAATTGGGCACCTGTTCCCGCGCTGTTTTAACACCCCCTACCTGCCCAACCTGTTAGTCTTTTAGCATCGCTGTTCGATTTTTGTTTCCATCGAGGAGGTGGGGGGTTGGAGAGAAAGGTTTGGCCCATTGAAGGAGATTTCCTTCCCCCATAATGCCCAGAGACGCTTACACCATGGTGACACTCCCCGAGGTACAGCAGATGTCATATATTAAAGAATGAAAGGAATCGATGTGGTGTGGTCTAAATAAAGCCAGAGATTGGCTCAACCACTCAGAAGATAAGGAAATCAGGGCGATCAGAGGGCCCGACTTGTTGATGTAAATATGTAAATATAACCAGCCGCAATGGAACTTTGTTATTAAGAGACTATTTTGAACCAAACTTCAGGAAAACTGATACATTTGCTGTTGAAATACATATAATATAACTGCCTTGTCTGCCAAAGGATCTGCAATTCTCTACAGCCTGTCCTGTGATCCAGACAGCAGAGTGAGAGCCCTGACCTGCAATGGGGTCAGACAACACAGTTTGGTCCAAGACCCGACCCAGGAGGAGCATCCCTGTACACTACCCTATCTGTAAGCATGTTCACAGAGCTTTACACTCACATATTTCCTTCCTTTCTTTCTTCTTTCCTTTTTCTTCTTTCCTTCCCTCACTATTTTTCTTCCTTCTTCCTTTCATTCCTTTGTTTTTCACTCCTTTTGTTTTTTTTTTCTCCCTACCTTTCTTTCTCTTTCTTTCTGTTTATCCTGTTTTCATTATTTCCTTTCTTCCTTCTTTCACTTATTTCTTTCTTTTTCCTATTCTCCCATATTGCCTTTCATCCTTCCTTTCTTCCTTTCTGCTTCTTCCTTCCTTTCTCTCCTATTTTTTCTCCTGCCTATTTTTCTGCTTGTTTCCTTCATTGCTTCCTTCCTGCCAATCCTCTCTTCTTTTTTCCTTTCTTTTTCTCTCCTTCTTTCTTTCTGCTACATCTTAATTCCCTCTGTTCTCTTTTTTTCTCTCCTCTCCTCTCCTCTCCTTTCCTTTCCTTTCCCTTTCTTCACTTTCCTTCCTATCTTCCCTAACCCTTCCTTTCCTTCCCTACTAGTTTCAAATCCACCCTCCATGTTCCATGCTTCCTTGACTTCCTGCCTTCTTTCTACCACTGTCTTACCTTAATATCTTTCCTTTTTCCTCCATTCATTCCTTTTTTTTCCTCAATCTTTTTTATTTCCTTTTTCCTGCTTTCTTCCTTCCTACACTTCTTTCTTTCTCCTTTCTCTCCCTTCAGAAATTTCCTTTCACCCTTCCTTCTCTCCTTCTTATGTTTCTTCTTCTTTCTTTCTTTTCGTTTCTTTCTTTCTTTCTTTCTTCTTTTTCCCTTCCTTCCTTTGTTGCTTCCTTCCTACCTCTCTTTTTTTTCTTCTTCATTTTTTTCATTCCTTTCTTTTTTTTTTCTCCCTATCATTCTGTCCCTTTTCCTGCTTTCTGTATTTCCTTTCTACCTTGTCTCCTTCTCCTTCCTTTCACTTCTTTCTTTCTTTCTTTCTTATTTTCTTTCTTTCTTTTCTTTCTTTCTTTCTTCCTTCCTTCCTTTCCTTCCTTTCTTCTTTCCTTCCTTCCTCTCTCTTCCTTCCCTTCCCCTTCCTTGCCTTCCCTAATAATTCCATTCCATCCTCCATAGTCCCTGATTCCTTCATGTCCTTCCCTCGTTTCTACCTAAAGTCTTACCTTCTTACTCAATCATTTACTTCCTTTCTTCTTTACTTTTTCCTTCCTTCTTTCACTCTTCCTTCAGTTCTTTTTTCCTCCACCTTTTCCTTCCTTCCTTCCCTCTTTTTCTCATTATCTCATTACTTTCTTCTTTACTTATTCCTTCGTTCTTTCACTCTTCCTTCAGTTCCTTTTTCCTCCACCTTTTCTTTCTTTCCTTCCCTTCCTTCCTTCCTTTTTTCTCATTATCTCAGTACTTATCTAAATCTATCTATATCTATCTATCTATCTATCTATCTATCTATCTATCTATCTATCTATTATCTATCTATTATCTATCTATCTATCTATCTATCTATCTATCTATCTCTATCTATTATTATCTATCTATCTATCTATCTATCTATCTATCTATCTATCTATCTATTATCTATCTATCTATCTATCTATTATCTATCTATCTATCTATCTATCTATCTATCTATCTATCTATCTATTATCTATCTATCTATCTATCTATCTATCTATCTATCTATTATCTATCTATCTATCTATCTATCTATCTATTATCTATCTATTATCTATCTATCTATCTATCTATCTATTATCTATCTATCTATCTATTATCTATCTATCTATCTATCTATTATCTATCTATCTATCTATCTATCTATCTATCTATCTATCTATCTATCTATCTATCTATCTATCTATCTATCTATCTATCTATCTATCTATTATCTATCTATCTATCTATCTATCTATCTATCTATCTATTATCTATCTATCCATCTATCTATCTATCTATCTATCTATCTATCTATCTATCTATCTATCTATCATCTATCTATCTATCTATCTATCTATCTATTATCTATCTATCTATCTATCTATCTATCTATCTATCTATCTATCTATCTATCTATCATCTATCTATTATCATCTATCTATCTATCTATCTATCTATCTATCTATCTATCTATCTATCTATCTATCTATCTATCTATCTATCTATCTATCTATCTATCTATCTCATTCCAGAAATACAATATGTCTCCTCTCCCCTGCACCCGGCTGAAGAGGTTAAAGTGGGGATTTCAGTATTTTCTCGCTCAGTTATGGGAATGTTGTCATGTCTCATATGGGTCATCAGACACTTAGAAAAACAGCTTCATTCAGAGTGTCCAGTCATGCATGTAGTCTGGGACAGGACATAAGCGGCCAGCACATGTGACCTCACATAGACGCTCGGCTTTAGGTGATACCGAAAAAAACAAAACTAGAAGCGCACACAGCAGCGGATTTAAAGCAGCGATTAGCCTGAGTAAATGTCTTCCCCTCTCTAATGAATACCCAGGTGGTGTTGTTGTTGACTGTCGATTAGTGATGCTTCTCTGCCATTCATCTGTGATCTGAGAGGAGAACACTATACTCCATGTCAGGCATACTGTCTGGGGAGCACAGGTGACTCTGGACAACCCGCGTTCATCCGAATACAGGTCAATGGTCACCAATACAATACGAAGTACAATTTACTGATCAAGAAAATAAAACAAGGAAAAGGCTGAACCTGTTTGCTCACACAGAGATGCTGATTGACAATGCAATGTCAGAGGAACCTAATTCACTATAAGTGCCCGGCCATACCGGTGCGATTTCAGGTGCGATTTGGGAATTTAAATTGCACCTGAAATCGTATCTAATGAATGTGAATGTCAGTTTCTTAACATTTGCGATTTGCTGCGGCATGATTTCTAAAGTATTTCTTGCATTACTTTTTCTGCAGTTTTGTTGTGATATCAAATACATAGAATATAATGGAAATCGCACGCAAACTGCAAGAAATTACTGAACATCTTCACAAGTAGCAATAAAGTCTTCAGAAATCACGCCTGAAATCGCACCTGAAATCGCACGCAAATTGCGCAATTTTAAATCGTAGTGGTGTGACCGGTGACTTAACAAGAAAGTTTTTGATTTCAAATGTGCTTCACCTTTTATCATTAGGAGGCCATTCTTTAGCTCCATCTGTGACGGTGCCTAGGCTGATTATGATGTAATCAGTTTGCTGCAGTCAGGAGGAAGCATTTCCTCAGTCCCCCTTCCACTTACTGATCAGAGTGCAATAATGTAGCTTTGTAGCAAGCAGGGTTTTTTGTAGTAGGAACGTGGAGGAATGCAGTTCCAGCACCTAAAATCGCTGAAAGTATATAATGGAAAGGGGTGTTGTGGTGTGCTGGAGGGTTTATTGATTTTGGGGGATCTGTTGTTACTGTAGGTAATCCATTGTTGCTGATGGGGGATCTATTTTGCTGGGGGGTCTTACGTTACTGGAGGTTAATAGTTTCTGAGAGGGATCTTATATTGCGGGAAAGGTCTATTGTTGCTGGCTGCTGAAGGGTCTATTGATGTTGGGTGCTGGGAGATCGGCTGTTGCTGTAGGGGCGGCCTATTGTTGCTGAGGTGGTATTTTTGTTGCAGGGTCCACATATGTCAAACTCAAGGCCGAATTAGGCCCCCTATACCTTCACCTTGAACTCCTCCACTAGATCCCGTGCTTCTCTGTGAAGCCGCACAGAGGACCCATCTCAGCACTTGGCAGCAGAGAGGAGGACGGAACTCCTCCTACAGATCTTGCGCCTCTGTGCAGCCACAGCACCCCCTTATCTCCACCTTCCCCAGTCTCAGCATTCAACTGATACCAGCTCTCCTCTGGTCCTCCTCTAGATCTGCACTTTCTGCTTCTCAGCTCTGCCCCCGGTAAGGGGGTGCATTGTGATGTAAGGGAGGGTGGGATACACTTGACTTCTGATGGTAGGGGGCCTCTTGACATCTGATGTAAGTGTGGGTGGGGTGCTGTGGACATCTAGTCTTACAGATACAACTGGTCCTTTGAGGGCAACAATAATACTGATGTGGCCCATGATGAAATTGAGTTTGACACCCCTGCTGTAACTGATTGAGTCCTCAACCTAAAACCTAATTGAACTTTTATTTTAAAACAGCTACATATATATTCAAGTGCAAGAAAAAAAAATAGTGTTCAACATTTTACCATTTACAGTGTTTTTAATTGTAATTTCAACTGCTCACTAGATCAGCCACTTACAGTCAGGGTTATGTGGAACTCTAGGGTTCCTCCAGATATTTCTAGGTGTCCCTTAAGCTGTGTGTGGTTGGCCTCCATACTGATGGTGCCTAGTACATAGTTCTGGGTTCAATGCCACTCAGCAGAGCAAGCAGCTTGATATCAATGTTTGTTTTAGTTGTTTGTAAGTGTGGCATTCTGACCTCCACTGTAGGAGCATTCTTCCCAATGACCCCCAATGTAAGGAGCATTCTTCCCACTGACCCCCAATGTAAGGAACATTCTTCCCACTGACCTCCAATGTAAGGAGCATTCTTCCCATTGACCCCCAATGTAAGGAACATTCTTCCCACTGACCCCCAATGTAAGGAGCATTCTTCCCACTGACCTCCAATGTAAGGAACATTCTTCCCACTGACCCCCAATGTAAGGAACATTCTTCCCACTGACCTCCAATGTAAGGAACATTCTTCCCACTGACCACCATTGTAAGGAGCATTCTTCCCACTGACCACCAATGTAAGGGACATTCTTCCCACTGACCACCAATGTAAGGGACATTCTTCCCACTGACCCCCAATGTAAGGGACATTCTTCCCACTGACCACCAATGTAAGGGACATTCTTCTCACTGATCACCAATGTAAGGAACATTCTTCTTACTGATCACCAATGTAAGGAACATTCTTCTTACTGATCTCCAATGTAAGGAGCATTCTTCCCCCTGATCACCAATGTAAGAAGCATTTTTCTCACTGACCTCCAATGTAAGGAACATTCTTCCCACTGACCTCCAATGTAAGGAACATTCTTCCCACTGACCTCCAATGTAAGGAACATTCTTCCCACTGACCTCCAATGTAAGGGACATTCTTCCCACTGATCACCAATGTAAGGAACATTCTTCCCACTGATCACCAATGTAAGGAGCATTCTTCCCACTGACCACCAATGTAAGGGACATTCTTCCCACTGATCACCAATGTAAGGGACATTCTTCCCACTGACCCCCAATGTAAGGGACATTCTTCCCACTGACCACCAATCTAAGAGACATTCTTCCCACTGACCCCCAATGTAAGGGACATTCTTCCCACTGACCCCCAATGTAAGGGACATTCTTCCCACTGATCACCAATGTAAGGAGCATTCTTCCCACTGATCACCAATGTAAGGGACATTCTTCCCACTGACCACCAATGTAAGGGGCATTCTTCCCACTGACCACCAATGTAAAGGACATTCTTCCCACTGACCACCAATGTAAGGAGCATTCTTCCCACTGACCACCAATGTAAGGGACATTCTTCCCACTGACCACCAACGTTAGGAGCATTCTTACCACTGATCACCAATGTAAGGGGTATTCTTCCCACTGACCACCAAAAAATTACTTTCTGCAAGGGTTCCCTGAGACCTGACATTTTTTTTTATGGGCTCCTCTGGGGTAAAAATGTTGCTTACAACTTGCTTTGAACTGTTGAATATCTGTGATTGCTGACAAGATCTTTGAGACTCTTCAGCTCTCAACACATAACCCATCTGCTTATCTAGCAGTAGTCAGTCACATACAGTTGGACTTGCTCTGTAACGCTGAAGCTGTTTTGTAGCTAACCAAGCCACATTTTCACTTCCTAACTATGACTAGATATACCATGCCCTGAATAAATGGGAACCCTCACGGACAACCCATCCTCTTTTTTTTTACCGGGAAGTTTTAAGCTTTCAAAAAAAAATCCTAAGACCTTCATCTTTTCCTTCCCTTGCCCTCATACCTCTCCTTTCTGCCTCTCCGTTTTCAATGCGGGTTCAGAGCACTGACTGTGTTTCTGGCCGTCATAACAGATGGCTCTGCAGTCCTATAATTGCTTCTTGACAGCAATTGTTGACTGATTTGCAGGGAATATCTTGACATGTGTAATCTGTGTTATAACATTTGATTTGACCCGAAGCCGAGTGCCGTCATTCACTTCACATTCATCTCGGTGGTTTCTATATCTATTTTTATTGCTAAACTTTAAGTATGCAGAATACGCCAAGGGAAAAAAAAGGGTCATGCAAAATACGAGGTGGGGAAATGAAAAACAATGAAATGCAATTCACTTACCTAAAATATGAGCTACCGATACACCAATAAAGAATTCACCTTCGCTCAAAAATGGAAGTCTAGAATCTAAAATAAGCACAACTAACATAAAATACAGATCTAAAATACAAGCCATTGATTGGACTTTCCATATATTACAATGAAAAAGGGACTCTCTTTGGATAGCCAGAAACCAATAGTAATGCATTTGATTTCAATATCCACTGTTTTGTGGTATTTTGTGGCTTTGTGGAACCATCATTTCTGATTGATTGGTTGTTTGAGATGGCTACACATTGGTTATGGCTATATTGTAGAGCAATCTCAGGCAACAAGTTGAACCAACCAGTGAAATGTAAAGTATGGGAACTATATGTCATCCGGTTAGGGTTTACACCTACTTTAACTATTTCCTAACAAGGACTTGACAAAGAATAAACATACAGACCCAAGACAGAAATTCAGATAAGGCCAAAGGATCAGATGTAGAATGGTCAAAGGAAAGCTAAGGGCCAAACCAGTCAGATGCAGTGGCAAAGTGGAAAACTAATGTGTAGGTGGATTCCAAGCTAAATGTTGCTCTACCACCCTCATTGTTGCTAGAGTAGGTATTTTTATTTTTTTTTCTCCCCCGTAGGCATAGGAGTGGGGGTTAAATGCATGAAGGTAAAAAACCTTCTGTAAGCAGCGACCCCCCCCCAGCCCCCCCATTTCTTACCTGAGCACCCTCCAGTCCAGCGACATTCTGGGGACTCTTCCTCCTCATTGGCTGCTGTCAATCACAGCCAGTGAGCCAATGAGGGGAGAGAGGGGGTGGGGCTGAGCCATGGCTCTATGTGTATTATGGACGCATAATACACTATTTGGACCATTTGGAAACTCGAGCACTACCCAAGGGCCCAGGGGCAGTAGGGGGCCCCATGAGATGCCCCTGGTACCTTTTTAATAGGCTTTTTTGAGTTTGGGCAAGGACACAGGGGCCCCATGATCCCCTATTGCCTGGGGGACCCAAGAGTTGTCAGTCCGCCCCTGGGGATGAGCACTCAGAGGTGTCAGTGAGTTTGTTGGCTCTCCCGTGGATGCACTGAGCAAGCTAGATACTGAGCCATGGGGAGCAGAAAAGAACTGTCAAAAGAAATGCGTAACAAGGTAATGGAACTTAATGAAGATGTAAAAGAATATAAAAAGATATTGAAAGCTTTGAATATACCAGTCAGTGCTGTTTAATTAAGAAGTGGAAAATTCGGGGATCTCTTGATACCAAGCTAAGGTCAGATAGACCAAAAAAGATTGCAGCCACAACTGCCGGATGAATTGTTGGGATACAAAGAAAAACCAACAGGTAACCTCAGGAGACATACAGACTGCTTTGGAAAAAAATGGTGTGGCTGTTACAAGGAGCACAGTAAAATGACACCTGAACAATTATGAACTGCATTAACGAGTTGCCAGAAATAGGCCTTTACTGCACCAATGCCACAAAAAAGCCCGGTTAAAACATGCTCAACAACACCTTAACACACCTCAAAGCTTCTGGCACACTGTAATCTGAAGTGAAGAGACCAAAATAGAGCTTTGTGGTCACAACCATAAGCTCTATATTTGGAGAGGGGTCAACAAGGCCTATAGCGATAAGAATACCATCCACACTGTGAAGCATGGTGGTGGCTCACTGATGTTTTGGAGAGGGTGTGAGCTCTAAAGGCACGGGGGATTTTGTGAAAATGGATGGCAAGATGAAAGCAGCATGTTATCAGAAAATACTAACAGACAATTTGCATTCTTCTGCACAAAAGCTGAGCATAGGACGCTCTTGGACTTTCCAGCACGGCAATAACCCTAATCACAAAGCCAAGTTGACCCTCCAGTGGTTACAGCAGAAAAAGGTAAAGGTTCTGGAGTGGCTATCGCAGCCTCCTGACCTTATTATCATCGAGCCGCTCTGGGGAGATCTCAAGTATGTGGTTCATGCAAGGCTACCAAAGACTTTACATGACCTGGAGACATTTGCCTGGAGACATTTGCCCTTTGCTAGCCTTTATCTGGCCCCTGGGGCACTATTCCTCCCAATGATATGAGGTACTATTCCTCCCACTGACACCAACAATGGGACACTATTTCTTACACGGATACCAATGATGGGGCATTATTCCTCCCACTGACACCAACAATGGGACACTATTTCTTACACGGATACCAATGATGGGGCATTATTCCTCCCATTAATACCAAAGATGAGTATTAATGGGAGGAATAGTACCCCATTTTCATTTTCACTGATGCTGGGCCTGGGACATTCTCTACCCCCACTGGTCGCAATCCGGCCCTCCTAAAGTTTGAAGGACAGTAAACTGGCCCTTTGAAAAGTTTGGAGACCCCTGGCCAAGACGAATGGCCAGCTATACCACCTGCAAAAATTGGGAGCCTCATAGACAACTATTACAGAAGACTGCACGCTATCATCGCTGCCAAAGGGGGCAAAACACACAATTAGGAACTAAGGGGATGCAGACTTCCAAACGGGGGCAATTCATTGGTTTACTTGTTGCCATGTTTTGTTTTATGACAACAAGGAATCCCAAGTGCTAAGTCCCATACAATGTGTGTGACTATTTGAAATCTGCAGCTAGTCCCCGGCAGGGGTTGTTTTGCACTTTTAGTTTGTTCTATGTTTAGATTTGTTGGACCTTGGCCCTGCCCCTGCGAGGGCAACTGTTGTTTGTATTTTGAGTTTTTCAACCAACTCAATAAAACCAAAAAAGATTTAAAGAAAAAAACAAAAACAATGGAGTGGTGACAGCATATACAATCAAAGAAACACAACGCTCAGGAACATTAGAAGAGATGATATCCGGATATAAAATCCTTATAGAATACACTATGGGAAGGTCACACCGTCATATCAAAAAACAACAAAACAGCGCAAATAAACGAACACTCAAAAAAAATATATTAAATAATACAAAAATAATCATACAGAAAAAAATATAATAATTAAATATTACCACTGCGAAAAATAGAATATGGTGAGTAGAATGAAATTGAAAGTCCTTATTCCAAGATCCTTGACCAGTGTTCACAGCAGTTTGTGCAAAAATCACATACCGCACTCATCAGATATTGGAGAAAAAAATGCCTTATCTAGGGGCTCAGGAATTCCTAGATCCCCTCAACTCAGCCTCCAATCACCAAGTCAAGATGGAGATCCCCCAATGCAGGTAAGGATATATGCCTCAGAACTTCAAACCAAATTTTAACTCAGCCTCCAACCTCCAGAACCACCAGAGATCACTCACCGGAAGTGACGTGGTATGCCCATAGGTTTTAATAAAAGTTTACTCCAAAATCATGGAGACAAACATAAGATCAGAAGATATTCAATGTAAGCGTTACCAATTACCAGACCTCATGGCTAATGGTGGACCTGCTTTGGGCAAAGATGTCTCAATTGTCAAAATAAAGAGAGGGCCGTTCCCACTGATGTGGGGATCGTCTATCTCGAACAGGCACTGCGGCGCACCGGAAGTGACGTCACCGAGGTCCTGGGAGGAAGCCGGAAGTGAACTACAGGATGGCAGGTTGGACCGCAAACAGGTTGCCATGATGACGCGTTTTGCGCGCATGCACTTTATCAAGTCATGTTTTGTTTTATATAATCAGAAAATCCCCAGCGCCAAATAAATATATTTTAGTATGTGTACCAAAATTAATTAAATGCTGCTGTACATAAGTGCAATCTACACCAAACTAAATAAAAACATTCAACCAGCGCAAATAATTATAAATCATGAAAAATTAGATAAATAAAAAATCATGAAAATTAATAATTAATTATTATATTATTATACAGTATTTATATAGTGCCAAAAAGTTTGCTCAGCGCTGTACATTATAGTGGGGGACAGTACATGATACAATACAGTGATAATACAATACACGAGGGGTTCAAGGGCTCTTCTCTTTGAAGCTTACAATCTAGGAGGGAGGGGGTAGGGGTACAGGAGGAGATGGCTGTGGGGGATGGAGTGGTAGGAGGAATGGAGGAGATCAGCTGTTAGGTGAGGGTGGGGTAGGCTTCCCCGAAGAGATGGGTTTTCAGGGTGCGCCTAAAGGTGCGGAGGGTAGGTGACAGTCTGATGGATTGGGGTAGTGAGTTCCAGAGGATGGGGGAAGTCCTGGAGTCGGGCATAGTAGCAGGAGACTAGGGAGCTAGAGAGTAGGAGGTCTTGTGAGGAGCGAAGAGTACGTGTTGGGTGGTATTTGGATATCAGGTCGGTGAGGTATTAATAATTAATAATTAATAAAAATGAATAGTCCCACTCAAAAAATGTGAATCAACAAATAACCACAAGTGCCAAAAATGATAAGTCCTTTTCCAATGAAGTGCGCTTCCACCAAAACTGTGCTTCACACCAACATATACCGCACTCACCAGATTCTTGTGAAATACACGCCTTCTAGGTATTTTTTGGGATCCTAGACCCTTATGATAAACCTCCGGACTCCACTCCAGCACAAGAGAACATTCTCCACCTTCCCACACCTCCAAGCTTGTCTTCCCAGCCAGACTCAAATTGATGTATGAAAGAAAAAATATATATAGTGTAATACTGCAAACCCGATGGAGAAGGTTCTCTTGCGCTGGAGTGGAGTCCGGAGGTTTATCATAAGGGTCTAGGATCCCCAAAAATACCTAGAAGGCGTATATTTCACCAGAATCTGGTGAGTGCGGTATATGTTGGTGTGAAGCACAGTTTTGGTGGAAGCGCACTTCATTGGAAAAGGAATTTTTGGCACTTGTGGTTATTTGTTGATTCACATTTTTTCACATTTTTGAGTGGGACAATTCATTTTTTATTAATTATTAATTTTTATGGTTTTTTATTTATTTAATGTTTTGTTTTATGATTGGGCCATTCTGTTATGACCATACAATTAAAAAATATGAATCCCATATTTTATAAAAGAAATTTGTTTTATATGTTGCAATAGACCATGCACACACCGTATATAGGTACCCACATGTTTATATATTGTTAATGCCCTACTAGCCCTGATGAAGGTAGAATGCCTTTGGCCCCTGAAATGTGTTGTCACATTATCTCTGGTGTCTATGATGAAATAAATGCTTTTTGGACTTTAGTACTTTTAGTGTACCTATTGCCTCACTTTTCCTTTCGTATTACTTTTAGACACACGATGAGCACCTCGACTCGCTCCACTGAACATATCCAGTAGATTTTCAGTCCTATCCAGGGGCGGACTGACAACTCATGGGGCCCCCGGGCAATAGGGGATCATGAGGCCCCTGTGTCCTTGCCAAAACTCAAAAAAGCCTATGAAAAAGGTACCAGGGGCATCTCATGGGGCCCCCTACTTACCCCGGGCCCTCGGGCAGTGCCCGAGTTTCCAAATGGTCAGACCGCCCCTGGTCCTACCAATTAATTTACATCGCCAATCAATAGCATCGATATTAAAACAATAATCAGTGCATTTATGGATGAGAATTCCTCAGCGTGGAAACGTATATATTTGTTGCCACCTAGGGGCGGACTGACAACTCATGGGGCCCCCAGGCAATAGGGGATCATGGGGCCCCTGTGTCCTTGCCAAAACTAAAAAAATCCTATGAAAAAGGTACCAGGGGCATCTCATGGGGCCCCCTACTGACCCCGGGCCCTCGGGCAGTTCCTAGCGTTTCCAAATGGTCAGTCCGCCCCTGGTCCTATCAATTAATTTACATCGCCAATCAATAGCATCGACATTAGAACAATAATCCCCTTTGTCGGTGCATTTATGGATGAGAATTCCTCAGCGTGGAAACGTATATATTTGTTGCCACCTAGGGGCGGACTGACAACTCATGGGGCCCCCGGGCAATAGGGGACCATGGGGCCCCTGTGTCCTTGCCCAAACTCAAAAAAGCCAATGAAAAAGGTACCAGGGGCATCTCATGGGGCCCCCTACTGACCCCGGGCCCTCGGGCAGCGCCAAGTTTCCAAATGGTCAGTCCGCCCCTGAATCCCACCTCGCGTCAATCGAGCTGCAGAAATCGCAGTCGGAACCCTTTTGTTTTGTGGCGTCTGGTTCACTATGAATTCATTTCAAGGATATCCTTGCCTTTTTTTTATTTTTTGTGTCATCTCTCTATTACCAAAATAAATTCGGTTTTAATTGTCTTGCTTATTTTCAAGAAGTGCACCTAGGCGGAATGATAAATGTCACATTGCTCCGCCATCATTTTGCAGTCGTTCTTTCTTCACCTAGCAGTTGAATTCCCCGAACGTCAAACTAGACTATTATGCGCGCAGACTCATGTGTTTAGCCTTAAGGCTTCCTTAAACTATGCTTGATCAGAAAAACGGATTGCTGGGAGCCATGGTGGCATATGCAGCAGAGATATGCATCACTTGAAGATGTTTTAAGAGGCCAAGGAATGCTATCTGTCTTAGTATTTGCCCACATGCGATGTATTGGCTCTTGGAGGGGATCCGTACTCGGATTAAGCATTCAGCACATCGACTGAAACAGCTGCAAAAAAAAAAAAATGCTTTTCATTTTAAAAAAGATAGAACGCTTTGTAGGATAACTCCGAAATTACAAGACATGTCAACATTTGCAAACGCTCTAAAGCCAGCCATCCACAAGCAGATCTTCACACAAGAGATTGGAGAACTCTCTGCTCTTATCGGGGTGGCCGGGGACAGGAACTTGAGAAAAAAAAAAACTTACAAAGTTTAAAGCAGGGATTTTTTTTCAGTGGGACGCAGTTCCGGCACCTCCAGCACCTCTAGCACCTCCAGCACAGAAAGTACTGTATGTACTGGCACAGGCGGCTGGGGTGTGCTGGAGGGTCTATTGATACTGACTGCTGAGGATCTATTGTATGAGACAAAAAGGAGGCGCACCAGCCTAGTGTATTATCCCGAGGGTTTTTTTTTTTATTCCAGAAAAAGATTTAAAAAATACTCACAGATAATTGTATACAGAATATCAAACCACCATCCCATGGCACAGTGGATATTGGGACCCAAAGAGATCTACAGTTGCAAGAAAAAGTATGTGAACCCCTTGGGATTACATGGAGTTTTGCATGAATTGGGCATAAAATGTGCTCTGAACGTCATCTAAGTCACAACAATAGAAGAACACAGTCTGCTGAACATAATACTACACAAACATTAGATGTTGCCATGGTGTAATTGCACATAACATGTAAACATTCACAGTGCAGGGAGGAAAAAGTATGTGAACCTTTGGACTTAATAACTGGTTTGACCCTCCTTTGGCAGCAATAACCTCAACCAAACGTTTCCTGTAGTTGCAGATCAGACCTGCACAACGATCTGGAGTCATTTTGGACCACTCCTCTTCACAAAACTGTTTCAGTGTAGCAATATTCTTGGGATGTCTGGTGTGAATCGCTCTCTTAAGGTCATGCCACAGCATTTCAAATCGGGTTGAGGTCAGGACTCTGACTGGGCCACTCCAGAAGGCGTATTCTGTGCTGTTGCAGCCATTGTTTTGTTGAATTACTTGTATGCTTTGGGTCATTGTCCTGTTGCATCACCCATCCTCTGCGGAGCTTCAGTTGGCGGACAGATGGTCGTACGTTTTCCTGCAAAATGTCTTGATAAACTCTGGAATTCATTTCCCCATCAATGACAACAATCCATCCAGGCCCTGAGGCAGCAAAGCAGCCCCAAACCATGATGCTCCCTCCGCCATGTTTCACAGTGGGGATGAGGTTTTGATGTTGGTGTGCTGTGCCTTTTTTCTCCACACATAGTTTTTGTGTGTTCTTCCCAAACAACTCAATCTTGGTTTCATCTGTCCACAGTATATTCTGCCAGTAGTGCTGTGGAACATCCAGGTGCTCTTTTACAAACTTCAAACGTGCTGCAATATTCTTTTTGGACAGCAATGGCTTCCTCCGTGGTGTCCTCCCATGTACTCCATTCTTGTTTAATGTTTTCCTTATTGTAGATGTGTCAACAAAAATGTTAGCATGTGCCAGAGATTTCTGTAGGTCTTTAGCTGACACTCTGGGATTCTTCTTTACCTCATGCAGCATTCTGCGCTGTGCTCTTGCAATCATTTTTACAGGACGACCACGCCTAGGGAGAGTAGCAACAGTGCTAAACTTTCTCCATTTGTAGACAGTCTGTCTTACCGTGGACATATGGACATCAAGGCTTTTGGAGATACTTTTGTAACCCTTTCCAGCTTCATGCAAGTCAACAATTCTTGATTGTAGGTCTTCTGACAGCTCTTTTCTGCGAGGCATGGTTCACATCAGACAGTGCTTCTTGAAACCAGTAAACCCAAAACAGGTGTGTGTTTTTTAAGGGCAGGACAGCTGTCAGCAACACATCCAATATCATCACACTGATTGGAGTCAAGGTTGGCTCACTCCTGGCTCCAATTAGCTCTGGGAGAAGTCATTAAGCTAGGGCCTCACATACTTTTTCCTCCCTGCACTGTGAATGTTTACATGTTATGTGCAAATAAACCATGGCAACATCTAATGTTTGTGTAGTATTATGTTCAGCAGACTGTGTTCTTCTATTGTTGTGACTTAGATGACGTTCAGAGCACATTTTATGCCCAATTCATGCAAAACTCCACGTAATCCCAAGGGGTTCACATACTTTTTCTTGCAACTGTAATGCCAGGATAGCGCCGTCCAGGATCCAGAAGCGGCTTACACGTTTCGAGGGAACTCCTTCTGTCAGGAATGGACTTGCCAATAGTGGTGGGACTCACCTGCCTTGTGGGCTGCAGTACCAGGGCTGGCCAGCGGGTGCTCTCAACAACCAGAGGTTCACTTCGGCAATTATCCATCACCTGGGGCTGATTGCAGGTGGTGTATTTAAGGGATGGCCAGACCTGCAGTCTGTGCCTTGGTGTGTGTTTTTCCATGGGCCCCTGTATCTTGTAACCTGAGTTCCTGTTCCTGTTCCTGTTTCTGCCTCTGCCTGACTTGTTGCCGACCCTGCCTGATCCTGACCTCTGCTGACTTCTCCTGTTTGATCCCTGGCTTGTGACCCCGACCATTCTCTCCGCCTGCTCCTCCTGTACCTACCTGCCCGATAGTTATCGACCCGGCCTGCCTGACTACATTGTGCTCTATATGTGTATGTACCTGTGTATCTATATCAGTTTAGGTTTGGGTTTGTTTCACCTTGTTGTATGTATTTGTGTTAGCTTGGGGTTTGGTGCACTGCGTTTATGTTTGTATTGTTAGTCTTTAATAAATTGTCTTATTTATACCATATCTGAAGCCTGCGTTTCCCTGTGTCAGTCCACACACTTCTGGTCATACCCCATCCCTGACACCCTCTTCATCAGAGCTGGTCTCTTGCAGTTGTTGTTGGACTTCCTCAGTCATCAGAGGGCAGCAAGGCCTAGTACTTCCCTGGAAGTGGTTCTACAGGAGGACCTGTGAACTGACCCCGGTCCATCACACTTATGCGCAGGAGGATTTGCTTTTCATTTCAAATAGATAGAACGCTTTGTAGGATAACTCCAAAATTACAAGACATGTTAACATTTGCAAACGCTCTAAAGAATGTCATTCACAGGCAGATTTTCACACAAGGGATTTGAGAACCCTCTGCTCTTATCGGGGTGGCCAGGGCCAGGAACGTGAGAAAAAAAAAACTCATATAGTTTAAAGCGGGAATGTGGGGGACGCAGTTCCGGCACCTCCAGCACAGAAAGTACTGTATGTACTGGCACAGGCGGCTGGGGTGTGCTGGAGGGTCTATTGATGCTGACTGCTGGGGATATATTTTAAGAGACCAAACAAAAAGGAGACGCACCAGTCTAGTGTATTATCCCCAAGGGTTATTCATTCCATAGAAAGATAAAAACATACTCAAAAATGATAGATGTATACAGCATCTCGAGCCACCATCCCATGGCACAGTGTATATTGGGACCCAAAGAGATCTAACGCCAGGATAGTGCCGTCCGGGATCCAGAAGCGGCTTACACGTTTCGAGGGAATTCCCTCTTCATCAGAGCTGGTCTCTTGCAGTTGTTGTTGGGCTTCCCCAGTCATCAGAGGGCAGGAGGATTTGCTTTTCATTTCCAAAAGATATTGGGACCAAAAAGATCTAATGCCAGGATAGCGCCATCCGGGATCCAAAAGTGGCTTACATGTTTCAAGGGAATTCCCTATTCATCAGAGCTGGTCTCTTGCAGTTGTTGTTGGACTTCCCCAGTCATCAGAGGACAGCAACGCTTGGAACTTCCCTTGTACTGATAAGTTTGGAGATACAACGTGGCCCTTGTACTGATATGTTTGGAGATACAACGTGGCCCTTGTACTGATAAGTTTGCAGATACAACGTGGCCCTTGTACTGATAAGTTTAGAGAAACAACGTGGCCCTTGTACTGATAAGTTTGGAGATACAACGTGGCCCTTGTACTGATAAGTTTTGAGATACAACATGGCCCTTGTACTGATAAGTTTAGAGATACAACGTGGCCCTTGTACTGATAAGTTTAGAGATACAACGTGGCCCTTGTACTGATAAGTTTGGAGATACAACGTGGCCCTTGTACTGATAAGTTTGGAGATACAACATGGCCCTTGTACTGATAAGTTTGGAGATACAACATGGCCCTTGTACTGATAAGTTTGGAGATACAACGTGGCCCTTGTACTGATAAGTTTGGAGATACAACGTGGCCCTTGTACTGATAAGTTTGGAGATACAACGTGGCCCTTGTACTGATAAGTTTAGAGATACAACGTGGC